GAAAAAAATGTTTAAAATATTTTAATTTGACATGCATCTCCCATGGTTAAAGGGACTATCCCATCGAAATTTAGAATCATATGAATAACTCATTGTTTTAGCAGTATACCTCCTGGCGTGCTTTTTCTGAAATCGTAATGTTCGAAATAACTGGATATCATAAACGAAATCTGAGAAATTGTGGCTTGTGGTCGCCTGTTAAAAACCTCCATTGCGTGGCCAGACATGTACGTGAGCTAGAGGCGCCGAGATTAATATTAATTAGTATTAAACTTAAAATGCATATGGTTCTTAGGTACACGTAAAGTACATACCATTCTTGAGTGGAATATCACTTTATTGTATTAAGGCAATAGTGAGTGAGTATGGTTTTACGCCGCTCTTAGCATTATTCCAGCAATATCACGGCGGGGAACACCAGAAATGGGCTTCACACATTGTACCCATGTGGGGAATCGAACCCGGGGCATCGGCTTGACGAGCGAGAGCTTTAACCACCATGCTACCCAACATTGCCCCCATATTAAGGCAATATCTCAAAAAAAGGATAAAATACGTATTTTTGCTATTAGCACATTTTTTTAAAATTAGGCCGGATTATTTAATAATTTTGTTTCACAGATTTCCTTCAACTAACAATCAAGATGAAGAACGCTAAAGAAGATACGAGTGGAAGGATTATTCTATCAAATGAATATGTCATGTAAATTATTAATATAACATATCAGGTTATCATTTTGAAAATATTGTTAATTAAAATCTCAACGGGACCTGATAGGAGACTGACATAAGTTCATCTCAATCAAACACCTGTGATTTGGCAGGTTCATCTACAAAATGAGAAAAAAATAAACGGTTCAGAAGTAATCAAGGTGGCATATCTATTATTGTTATGTGTTTTGTATTTGGTCGTTTTCGGCAGTTTTCTAAGATCCGGGATATGGAGTGTTGAGTCGAGTTAAGGTCTCTTTCATGTTGCTACGGGCGGGAGGAACACGAAAATCAAAAACGTACCCTTAAGCACCACTCATGAGTCACGGAGTTGGTGTTTTTTTTTGTTTTGTTTTTTTGTTTTTTTTGGGTTTTTTTGTATTGTTTTTTTTGGTTTTTGTTGTTGTTTGTTTGTTGTTGTTGTTGTTTGTTTTTGTTTTTTGGGGGTTGGGGGTTGGGGGCATTATATGGGAAGAGACACATGCCTTTATTCACTGATGACAACACTTCGATGTTTTGTCCGTTTCAAAATCTAGAAGCTTAGTTGTATGTTATAAACCGCCTACAAATTATATATTTCACGGCACAATATACAGAAATATCATTTAATATAGAGTTGCATCCCTTACTGATGTAAGGATACGAGGTTCGAATGCAAGACAACCCTGTTCCTTGCTTTGTCAACCCAGTTCCCGTGTTCATATCTCTTAAGTGGTAGCTGAAACAAGCTGTTCCTTGTCCCATACCTTTGATGCGCACGGGGTCTAAACATGTTCAGGATTGCGTAAACAGATCAACGTGGGGAAGGCCTTGCGGTCGGATTCCTAGTGGTTAAAGCGTCCGCTCGTCACACGGAAGACCCGGGCTCGATTCCCCACATTGGTACAATGTGTGAAGCCCATTTCTGGTGTCCCCCGCTGTGATATTGCTGGAATATTGCTAGAAGTTGCGTAAAAGAATATTTACTCACTCACTCATTCAATATTAAAAGGAGTTCAACTCAAGACTAGAATTATTTGGCAAGTCTAAGCCTCAGCCCTGAAATTAAGGTTTTGTTCTGGGCGCTATTTGGATTATATATTTTTTTAATTTTCTAAATACATATTTTTTTAAATGATAACTTTATTTCTGGGACTAAATGTCAGTCTCATCATGGCGCTGCGAGGGACAATCGTGTCCTCGTTACACCAGCTCATCACTAACACTATCGTAACCGTCCAGCAATGTGAAACTCACCCACTCACCCACTCACTCACAGTCACGCAGGCATTGACGTTACATCGATATTTAATTTTATAGAGATACCTCAGAATGGAATCAATCTTAACACTATTTATCAGCATCTTTGGTATACGAAAATGCCTGGGGGTAGAAGTACATATATTGCTTTCATGTTCCTGGATTGACTAATTCCCCGATCATGCATATTTTGATTGATCAGAGTTGATCAGAGATGCTGTCCGCATGCAGACATACAGTAATGCATCACGGAGACCATTAATAGATTCCAACCCGCCCGAGGGGAGCGGGCTGATTCCCACGCATAAAACATCATCTTTTGTGAGCCCCGACATTTACAGTACTGACGTAACATCGGTGAGGTCCATGAAGTCGGTGTGTGTGAACGCCTTGGGTTGGGTGGCGAGGGGCGAGGATTCCTTGATCTGTCCTGAATTCAAGAACTGTTCGTTTGGTCAGTGTTTTCTCAAAAAAGGTGTCTGTGATAAGTGCCGAGGATGGAGATAGTGGCTAGTCAGGGTAGAGATAGTGGCTAGTCAGTGCGGAGATAGTGACTAGTCAGTGCGGAGATAATGACTAGTCAGGATGGAAATAGTGCTAGTCAGGGTGGAGATAGTGGTTAGTCAGGCTGGAGATAGTGGCTAGTCAAGGTGGATACAGTGACTAGTCAGGATAGAGATAGTGACTAGTCAAGACGGAGATAGTGACCAGTCAGGGTGGAGATAGTGGTTAGTCAGGGTGGAGACATTGACTAGTCAGGATAGAGATAGTGACTAGTCAAGGCGGATATAGTGATCAGTCAGGGTGGAGATAGTGGTTAGTCAGGGTGGAGATAGTGACTAGTCAGGATAGAGATAGTGGCTAGTCAAGGTGGAGATAGTGGCTAGTCAGTGTGGAGAAAGTGGTTAGTCAGGCTGGAGATAGTGGCTAGTCAGGCTGGAGATAGTGGCTAGTAAAGGTGGATACAGTGACTAGTCAGGATAGAGATAGTGACTAGTCAAGGCGGAGATAGTGACCAGTCAGGGTGGAGATAGTGGTTAGTCAGGGTGGAGACAGTGACTAGTCAGGATAGAGATAGTGACTAGTCAAGGCGGAGATAGTGACCAGTCAGGGTGGAGATAGTGGTTAGTCAGGGTGGAGATAGTGACTAGTCAGGATAGAGAAAGTGGCTAGTCAAGGTGGAGATAGTGGCTAGTCAGTGTGGAGAAAGTGGTTAGTCAGGCTGGAGATAGTGGCTAGTCAGGCTGGAGATAGTGGCTAGTAAAGGTGGATACAGTGACTAGTCAGGATAGAGATAGTGACTAGTCAAGGCGGAGATAGTGACCAGTCAGGGTGGAGATAGTGGTTAGTCAGGGTGGAAATAGTGACTAGTCAGGAAAGAGATAGTGACTAGTCAAGGCGGAGATAGTGACCAGTCAGGGTGGAGATAGTGGTTAGTCAGGGTGGAGATAGTGACTAGTCAGGATAGAGATAGTGGCTAGTCAAAGTGGAGATAGTGGCTAGTCAGTGTGGAGAATGTGGTTAGTCAGGCTGGAGATAGTGGCTAGTCAGGCTGGAGATAGTGGCTAGTAAAGGTGGATACAGTGACTAGTCAGGATAGAGATAGTGACTAGTCAAGGCGGAGATAGTGACCAGTCAGGGTGGAGATAGTGGTTAGTCAGGGTGGAGACAGTGACTAGTCAGGATAGAGATAGTGACTAGTCAAGGCGGAGATAGTGACCAGTCAGGGTGGAGATAGTGGTTAGTCAGGGTGGAGATAGTGACTAGTCAGGATAGAGATAGTGGCTAGTCAAGGTGGAGATAGTGGCTAGTCAGTGTGGAGAATGTGGTTAGTCAGGCTGGAGATAGTGGCTAGTCAGGCTGGAGATAGTGACCAATTTAGGATGAAGATAGTGCTAGTCAGGGTGGAGATAGTGGCTAGTCAGGCTGGAGATAGTGGCTAGTCAAGGTGGAGACAGTGACTAGTCAGGATAGAGATAGTGACTAGTCAAGGCGGAGATAGTGACCAGTCAGGGTGGAGATAGTGGTTAGTCAGGGTGGAGTTAGTGACTAGTCAGGATAGAGATAGTGACTAGTCAGGGTGGAGATAGTGGCTAGTCAGGGTGGAGATAATGGCTAGTCTGGGTGGAGATAGTGACTAGTCAGGATAGAGATAGTCACTAGTCAAGGCGGAGATAGTGACCAGTCAGGGTGGAGCTAGTGACTAGTCAGGGTGGAGATAGTGATTAGTCAAGGTTGAGATAGTGGCTAGTCAGAGTGGAGGTAGTAGCTAGTCAAGGTGGAGATAGTTGCTAGTCAGTGCGGAGATAGTGGTTAGTCAGGCTGGAGATAGTGGCTAGTCAGTGCGGAGATAGTGACTAGTCAGGATGGAAATAGTGCTAGTCAGGGTGGAGATAGTGACTAGTCAGGATGGAGGTAGTGACTAGTCAGAGTGGAGATAGTAGCTAGTCAAGGTGGAGATAGTTGCTAGTCAGTGCGGAGATAGTGGTTAATCAGGCTGGAGATAGTGGCTACTCAGTGCGGAGATAGTGACTAGTCAGGATGGAAATAGTGCTAGTCAGAGTGGAGATTGTGACTAGTCAGGGTGGAGGTAGTGACTAGTCAGGGTGGAGATAGTGACTAGTCAGGGTGGAGATAGTGACTAGTCAGGGTGGAGATAGTGACTAGTCAGGGTGGAGATGGTGACCAGTCAGAGTGGAGATAGTGACTAGTCAGAGTGTCGATAGTGACTAGTCAGAGTGGAGATAGTGACCAGTCAGAGTGGTGTATAATGACCAGTCAGAGTGGAGATAGTGACTAGTCAGGATGGAGATAGTGACTAGTCAAGGTGGAGATAGTGACCAGTCAGAGTGGTGTATAATGACCAGTCAGAGTGGAGATAGTGACTAGTCAGGATGGAGATAGTGACCAGTCAGAGTGGTGTATAATGACTAGTCAGATTGGGAATAGTTGCTAGTCAGGGTAGGGGATATCACACTATAAACATCCATCTGTATCAGTACATGGCCTGAACCTGAACGACGTGAACTGACATCCCTGTATCGGGCAACACCGTAGTCGCGTATCCCGCCACGGACGCGGACGCTCACCCAATGCGTTCAGTGGCCTTTAACTCTACCTGCAACACAGCGCTGCCTCAGATGCTCCACCACCCGCTTGCTACAAGGATATATGTCAGTGACGAGCGTCTAAAGGTGAGTCCCGCCACAAGGGTGCCGTTTTACAAAACAACTTGAGCGGTACGACTGTCGCAAGTCTTTGTTAAAGTATGGGAGTTACGATCACCTTAGCGCTAAGATCTCTTCATACAACCGCACCCTGTCCAGTATAACACCATCAACATGTTTAACAGAACTGTTACGTGAGTTGGAAAATCAATATTAATACCGGTCATCCAATCTTTTCAGCGTTAGAATATAAGACTTTAAGTGGCACATGCATTACGTTGGACATTCGTGATTATAAAATCGGCGACAGTCGAGCAGTCGATCTTTACTATATGCTAATTACCACACGGGGCGGTCTGGATATAAATCATTAGATGTAATCAACCGTTAAAGCGAAAGGGGCTTATTCGCAAATATGCATCGGAGATGCAAATAACGATTTTGTTTTAAAATGGCAGATTGACACATAACAATATTGACCAGAAATATTAATCAAATAAAACATTGTAACGTAGTCTTATGTCTCCGAGATGACGTCACTCATTGAATTTCTTTCGATGCTAGTGAATTATAAAACTGATCGAAAATATTATTTAACTTTAATAATACACAAATGTAAAAAAATTAAAAACTCATCTATTACGTCTATTATTCTGGTTTAAATAATAGCAACTGGGTTAAATATGACGTTTAAGACATCGTTTTGTTGGAAAGAAATTCTCTCACGATCTAACGTGTCTTTATATCATCAAGACATATATATCAACAGTTGTTGGTCATAAATTCCTCATGTTTAGAGCTTGTCTCATTACACCTCTAATCTTGGCATATCACTATAAATAGTATATGAAGCGATAACGTGAACTATGGCATGGGGTAATCTGCCCCTTGCTGTCACAGTGTTCCAAAGGTCAAGGACACGGTTGTCACAGTTGACCTGACCTGGAATATTTGGTGGATACGCGGCAAGATCGTTGCTACTAATTTCAGAAATTCAATGTTTGGAAATGGGGCTGTCATTCCGCTGTTATTTCAGGTGTTGAGTCAGGGGTACTGATAACACAACGTGTTGAGAGATGGCGATGTGGTTGTGGAGTTACTATAGCCCTGTGACAACAACGGGTCAATTAGGTCATGACCTCACATTGACATTCGAACCCGGCTTTAGGGACTCACGAGCGATCGCCCTTCCTACATGGTGAAACCACATTCATCGGTTTACTAAAGACATGCTACTATTAAAATACGTCATTTGTTAATCCATATGGAGGCTCGAACCCGGACTTGGATGAGCCGAGCGAACACTGTATCCACTGGGCTATACCGTCACCGCCTGCTTATAGAAACTAATATGAAGGGATAAGGTTTTTATTAAAATTATCGTCAACCCTTTATAAGACCATGTTTAGTTATACAACTTGAGTGAGTGAGTGAGTTGGGTTTAACGCCGCTTTTAACAGTATTCCAGTTATATCACGGCGTGTCAGCTTAATGTGGGAGGAAAGCCCGAAGTGATGCAGGTCTCAGACGTTTACCACTTCGGTGAAACCCACGAGCACGGGTATGGTGCTGACAAACCTAGAAACATAATCGGGGCGAACCGGGATTCGAACCCACAATCCTAGGTTTCTGGCGTGCCCAAGGGACGCAACTCTGCACAGCGAATCGCGGCGTCTTAGACGACTGGCCCACCCGTGCCCCATCTTAGCACGAAGATCGCTCCGTAACCCAAGTTGTGAGACTGGCAATTGTTATGACTAGTACTTGAACTCTCACCTTTGACCTGACGGATGTCACCATAGCAAGATGACGTAGTTAGGACAGTCACTGTTTGCCTGGGTCAGGGCCCGTCCCAGAAACTATCTCTATGAATGGGAGTTACTATCGACTAAGCTCCATGATCGCTTTGAGGAACGGGACCCAGAGCCCACTTGCACAAAACGATCTTAGCGCTATGAACAGCATAACGCCCATGCTGAATTGCAGACTTACCACTCATGAAGATCCCTGTTAGAATCTTCAGCAACACTTGCGCTTGCCGTAAGAGGCGACTATCGTCATCAGGAGAGGCGACTAACGGGATTGGGTGGTCAGGCCTCGCTGACGTCGTTGATGAATGTCATCGTATCCCAGTTTCATGGATCGATGCTCATGATGTCAATCTCTGGATTGTCAGGTCAAGACTCGGTTATTAACAAACCGCCGTCATATAGCTGGAATATTGCTGAGTGCGGCGTTAAACAACACAATAACAAAGTAACAAAATACTATAGACTTACAACAGTTAAGATTGTGCATATTAACGAAGTCATTATACATTCTGTAGCATGACTGTACTGATGAAGGTAACGATGTACATATTCTTCATCTTCTGCACTATCGATGGGGCAAGGGAGGTCAAGTGGTCCATGGCATCACAAATATATGTGCAGAGTTGCGTCCCTTAGTCGTGCCCAGATCACCCATGATACCACCCGATTGTGATCACCGATCTGTCAGTACTATACCCTGGGTTTTGACAAAGCTTGCGACCTTCTTCATTTTTTCGGGCTTTCCTCACACATCAGTGAGTGAGTACGGTTTTACGCCGCTTTTAGCAATATTCCAGCAATATCACGGCGGGGGACACCAGAAATGGGCTTCACACATTGTACAATTGTCGGGAATGGAACCCGGGTCTTCGGCTTTACGAGCGAACGCTTTAACCTTTAGGCCACCCCCCTCCCGCATCAAGCTGACACGCCCTCATTTTACTGAAGTAATTATCAAGGCGGCGTTAAACCAAATTCACTTATCACTCACTTGCGTCAAATAACAAAAAAAGATATTTATTGATACTAAAATCACGTTAATATTGCTAAAGAGGCGGAATTAAAAAAACAGCGATATTTTCAGCCGCTATCTAAACAACGGCCATGGAATTCGCGGGAAGTCATAATTTGTCACGTCATAAATAGGTACTGTCAAACGTCCTTGTAACTCTAGCGTGACATTGACAGACTAGCTATAATCGCGGTCACGGGTCGGGCGTCACGTACAGACAGTTGGGGGTAAATCGTTGACATGGACGTCATTCATCCAGCGAACGAGCCCGGAAACGACGACGTATCTCACAGTTAAAAATCGAGGTTATTATTGTTTGGAAGGGTATTTTAAAATAAATGTGGAATACAAACAACAACATTGGATGTCACAGTTTAAACTTCACATTTAAGACACAGAGAAATCACAGCGAGTATATTTACATAACGGTACTGCCATGTATGTTGGAATAAGACTCGTGCTGTACGTGCAATATATGACGGTTGGCCCTGACTGTGCATGATGGCTTTGCTGTGCATTTTTAATACTCGTTCAATATACAACTTTGTGACTTTTGAAGGATTCATTTTTTTACTTTGGAGATTCATTTGGAAAAGCTATCTGACGGCAGTCTGTAAATAATCGAATCTGGACCAGACAATCCAGCAAAAATGAGCGTCGATCCACGCAATTGGGATACGATGACATGCATCACCTGAGCCTGACCACCCGATACCGCCAGTCGCTTCTTGACGACAAGCATGAGTTGTTGAAGACCAATTCTAACCATGAAAAAAGAGATTCATATCTCTAACATACGAAACGGGATTGCCATTTTCAAGATTCAAAACTCAAAACTATATTTTCCCATTTAAATTTCAAAACTCATATTCACATTCGTGTCACTTCGGGACATATGAGTCCAGTGCCCTGCCCGCTCGTCAACATTCAGAATGCACCTGAGGAATGTTTAGGAAAACTCCTCACAAACCAGAGAAACTGTAGCAAGTGTTAAATGATTGTGTCATGCGCCCATTATAGTAACCTCGGGGGGACGGACTTGACTTTTATTATCTTTCTTGCGATAAAAGTTGGGCGTTGCATGTGTAGGTGCCATTCATAGCCTAATGAGTTTATTTTTGTTGTTGATGGATGAGGGGAATGTATCACTTAGCCAGTGAGAATAAGTTACATTGATAAGCGGTAGCTTTAACAGCTGAGTAGTTTTGACGTTCACTGTTCCCACGTGTCCGTGAGGAATTGGTTTGACGGTGCATCATTGGAAACAAAAATGGTCGTATTTTCCTTTCCTGGCGACTCGCGTCATTCCGGTTACGGAAAGGGACGAGTGGTCGTAATTATATATTTACAAAATACAGCAGTGAGGGAGGGAGTTGTATGTTACGCCGCTTCGAACAGTATTTCAGCTATGTTAGGGTGTGGCAGCTTAATGTGGGAGGGAATTCTGAAGTGATGCAAGTTCTTCACTCACGAGCTCTGGTTTGGTGATTACAAACCAAAGAACATAATTAGGGCGAATATGGGATTCGAACCCACGATCATGGGATCCTGGCAAGCCTAAGGGACACAACTGTGTACAGCGAATAATGCACCAAAAGACACCTAATACATTTGCATAGGATGTCATTCAAGCACCTGTTCGGATAATCAGGTGATTATTATACCCCGCCACGAAGTCGAAGGGGGTATAGGAATGAGGATGTCCGTCCGTACTTCCCTCCATCCGTCTTTCCGTCCGTCCGTCGCGTTTCGTATCCAGAGCAGAACTCAAAAACAATGAGAGATATCTCAATCAAACTTGGCGCATAAAGATAGGTATAGTGATGAACAGGTGCCTTTTGATAGTTATGAGATTCCTGAAAAATATTTTTTTTCATGGCAACGACTTTGGCCGGACTAATGTCAGTTTTAGAGTGCTAGCCCACTGAGATACCATGCCGCAGTTTAACATGAATACCCCACTCAGACACAGTATACTGACTCCAAGCCGACCATACTTTTTTTTTTTGCCCCTTAACGCCGAGTGCCAGGCAGGGTAACAACAAGTGCCATTTTTAACGTCTTTTGGAGTTTTGAAGCTCCCCGGGCGAACGCTCTACCACTAGACAACGGAGGCGGTTTGAAACAATTGAGATTTATGAATAAATAGAGAACCTCGGAGATTTTCCACTTTTATCAACTCGTGTTGATGTATTTGATATCGA